CACTCTTTCAGGTTGATGTTTGATCCATATGAAAGAATTGTGTATGATTACATGGGAGGAATGGAAGATATCATAAAAGCTAAAGTGTGCATGAATCTTTTTGAATCTGTTGTTTCATACATTGCTTTTTGTAATCAGAAATTTGAACTTATGTAACTTAGTTTTCTGTGGATAGGTGCGAACAGTGGTTCCTGCAGCTAGTTCTTTTCGGGAGGATTGTGGTTAGTCTTTGTTGAGGGAATAATGTTAAAAAAGAAAACTACTTCATTCCCATTTCCCATACTTATTACTGTTGACTCCTTTTGTTTTCTTCAGCTCGCATTCTACGTGCAATTAGAATTGCTGCTCGCTTGGGATTTAGTATCTCACGTGAAACAGCTCAATCTGTTAAAAGTCTTTCATATTTAGTTTTAAGACTAGACAAGGTATTTAAAGTGATCTTCATCTTTTCTTTACTACATGTGCAAATGAAAATATCGTGCCTTAGTTACTCCTGTTTAACTGTTTTAGGGTAGACTTCTGATGGAAATGAATTATATGCTAGCTTATGGATCTGGTGAAGCTTCTTTGAGGCTATTATGGAGATTTGGACTTCTAGATATACTTCTCCCATTTCAGGTAGATAATGATTATCCATTTTATTTTCAAAAACTGTCATGGAATGCTAGATTAATTCAGATTTGACATTTCAGGCTGTTTATTTTGTTCGCGGTGGATTTCGAAGACGGGACGAAAGAACCAATTTGCTTTTGGTATCCCCATCCTTCTTTACAAAGTTTAGGCTTTAAAACTTGCAGTGATTTAAACTGTTTCACCGACATTTATCTAGTGGGAATATCATACAGCCGGGAGACAACAACTTTCCTAAATTAACTTGGAACATGTTGGTTATCATATTTATCAAATTTGCATTAAAACATGTATGTGTTTGAAAACTAATATATATCTTTCTCCCCTGCTGTTACACGAACCCTTGCAAATAACTATTAAACCAGAACTGCAACATGCTGAGTTCCTTGGTTCCACTTCCTGAAAAATGTTTTTTTGTATAAAACTCATGTGGAATGGCTAGATTAGTTATTTTCATAACTAGGCACTCATTGTTATTTGAATATGTTTAAGGAATGAGCCATTAAAGATATCTCTTCTACAAAAGAGATAAAAGACTTTCAAGTTCTGAACAACTAATGGAAGTGGTGGGATTTTTTTTTTTTCCTTTCAATTTAAATATGGGTTATTAGATTATCTTGAGATAGTTCCACGTGTAACTAGCTTAAAAATTTGAATGGATTTAGCACCACATATGCACATTTTTTTTATTGGATCTTCTGGAATTTCGTCTGCAGTCTTTCTTCTCCAATTTGGATCAACTTTTGGCACCAAACCGGCCATGTCATAGCAGCTTATGGTAAGATCTTGTAACAGAAAGGGCTGTTTCTTGCTTTACTTTGCTACCCATATGTGATAAACCTAATGTATGATGCTGGGGAAAGAGATAACATCATCAAACCTGTAAATGAGATTTCTTTCAAGATTTTGTCCTAGGATAGCATAGCCTTGAAGACATGAATATAACATTTTAAAGTGCTTTCTTCCTTCTTATTTCAGGGGAAATGTCTCAGAAAGAATGTTAAGTTCCTGACTCGTTTACTGAAGTCAAGCCCTTAATCTGCTTCAGTTTTCTAGTTTTATGAAACAGTTCCAGTTTTGTAACTATCCTGTTGGCTGCTATTGCTTTGTTAAACTTAGTGCCAATGGCTGCCACAGAATCCTCTATATTATCTTTCCCAATATTTTTTTTTGGCATGCATCAATGGGGCTTTTAAGTTGGAAAGTGTTCTGGGGCAGTGGGAGCATAGGTTCTTTCCTCCATAAAAGATCTCCTATGTAGGACCAAACCCAAGATCTCATGCTCATGTGCTTAAGAAGATGATCATTGACCATTAGGGTAAATGCCCATGGTCATAGACATCCATCCATCTTCTGCCTTAGGTGTACCATCCAGTTATTATCTGACTCTTACATTGAAATTATCTCTTAATGCTAATATGCCATTGGATTTGGGTATCAGATGAAGGGCTGTGCGCCTGTACCTTGGAAGTGTCTTCTATATCATTGATGAATCTGTTTTATTTTTCCTTTTAAATTGAGGTTTTGGTTCTTACAGAAATTTATTATTTCCAAACTGATACTTTGGGAGCCTTTGATTGAAGTCAGCAATATATCTAAATTATTGTTTGGTCTCGTTCACAAGTTGTCTCTCTTAATGTATGGAGTTTTCTTTTCTCAGTTTTCTTCAATTGTATGATAGGTTCTAAGAACTATCAGATACACATGATTAGAAATCTTTACATGTTGATTACTACTTAGGTCACCAAAGCAAGACTCACAAGTCACAAGGAATCTATGTTTTCAGGGTTGCTATCTTTGCTTTACATAAAGCATTGAGTGATAAACCAAGGGATTCCTTGGTGGTTGCTGCATTTAGCTTCGCACTCCATAATGGTGGAAATTTGTCAGAAGCAATAGACATAGCTAGGAGGATCAACAAACCACATGATGCCAGATTTCCTGAATTATTAGATTCTTCAGGTCTGGATAAAGAGGATATGGAAGATGAGATTCTGGAGCTTGCAGAGTCTGTTAAAGGGTCATTATTGCAGATGACAACTAGGCATTTGGTATCTGAGGCAATGGCTGACTATCATGAAGCTCCTTATTCAGATCTGGTGAGCATACGATTTTTTTATAGATTTTATACATGCTTCAGGACAATGGCTACCTAGCAGATGGACTGGACTAGTATAGAACCCAATCATCTATCATCCCATTAAAAAACGTACATTCTTTTCCCACAAATAACACATGCATGTGCAAGCAGGCAAAGAAACAAAGGATAAAAAAGATGTAATCGTAGTAGAACAATCAACATCAATGTAACATTTTAACTGTTAAATTAATTAGTGAGAAATTGAATTATACCTGTAAAATTGAACTATTTTGTTCATAATGTAATTCCTTGTTTGATGATTGATGATTATGGTAGACGATTCAATTTAACATATTAACCAGATATTTGAAGTATGATAATTTGATTATTGCTAAAGAATCTAGGGCTTTCTCTGTTGATATTTTGTTTGGTTAATGGATCCTGATTAACTTCATTAATTTGTACTGTTAATCGTTCACAATTTCACAGGTACTCATCCCATTAGCAATGTACCTAAAAGCTCTCAGCTTTTTTGACTGTGTGAAAGTAAATGCTGGTAAGAAATTTTTGTCAAAGCAAGGTAGAGAAATTGATTACGAGTCCTTAGCTCGTGGTGACTTGCAAGAAGTACGGCATGTGTTTGCAAGAATTGTATTTGATACCGTATTTCCATTACACCTATGTCAAGATCAGTCCTAAAAGAGCACTGGATTTCATGAGGCTAGTTTGAAGTTTTATTAGAAATTCTGGGAAAATTGATGCTGCACTTGGAATTCTATCAAGGGTAATAGTCGTTGAAAATTGGAACAATGTGTGGTGAAGGTCTAGTGCCAGCATTTGGCATTTGAGATTGGGTCTTGCAGGAATTATCATTGACTTTGTCATGAGCCATGACAGGCTAAATAGGCAGCGGATAAAAGAGGGAAACAGTTTCCACCCGCAAAAAGATTTTCCCCCCTTTTCCTTTGTTATTATACAAATAATTCTTTTATCGAATATCAATCTTATTTTCTCATGGCGTGATGTATATATGGCAATTTTCAAATCAATAAATTGCCAAAAAGTTAGTAATATTTAATTTTTTAATTCACGAATGAAAAACAAGTGAAGTCCTCGCTCTTTTAACAAAGAGAGATCGGAATGTTCCAGTCAACCAATTGTTGTTGTCATACGTTTCTTTAATCTTTCCCT